GCCACGGGGCCAGCCCCACACACATACATTCTTGCACAAAAGTCCCCACAATCATTCATACACACACAGACTCTCACAACCCTCTCATTCATATATGCCACCCCATCCTCACACACGTCCCCCCGGCATCCCCCTTATACACACCTGCACACCCGCCCCCGTGACAATCCTCCATACACAGCCCTGCACACACGTCTTCACACACAATGTTCTTCAAATCAGCCAGTCACTCGCGGAGCTCCACATCCCCTCCCCTCTTCCAAGTGAAAGCAGAGCGTGTGCTCTCTCCCCTCCCTGCCAAGCCCGTGTCCTCACAGCCCTGCCACTAGGCCTCTCCTGCGATGCCCAGAAACTGCTCAATGCTTTCCTCTTCCTGACCCCTCAGTGGTGTCCCTCTTTCTGTACCCTGTCCTTGGCATTTGATGGCCCCACCATGAACTCTGAACTCCACAGGCACAGGGGTCCTTTCTGTCTTTTTCATGAACGCATCCTTAGAACCTAGCACATAGCTGGTGTCCAAGAAATATTTGAATGAATGAATGAATGAATAAGGGTGTGAGACCTAGGGAGGGTGATAACCTGCTCAGGCCAGGGCTCTGGGCTTTGGGAGGGAGTCATGGAGAGAAGATGGGGGGGGGGTCTGCCCCCTCTTGGTCAGTCCCAGCGCCCTGCCCCCTCCAGCTCTTAGCCAAGCCATGGGCCCCTGGGTGCCAGCTCTGCCCAGTGCACACACACCCCATGTATGCCTCCTCCTGAAGGAGCCAAAGTACTGAGAATGTTCAGGACGTGCCCTGGCAGCCACTTCCGGCTCACCTCCGGGGCCTCCCGGTCCCTCTGGAGTTTGCAGGACAGGACCCGGGTTCCTCAGGAACACAGACACTCTATCACCTGCCTGAGCCTCCATCCACCAATGTTGCCATCTGCGTCGCCCCAGTAGCGACCACGTGCCAGGAACTGGGCTACTCGATTCTGACACAGATCCTACCAGCCTTTCTAGAAGGGAGGCCCTAGTAGCATCTGCATCTTAGAGCCTACTTAACAGAGGCTCTCGGAGCCCAGCAAATGGCCCGATGTCAACCGCTGGATTGGAACTCAGGCTCCGAACTCTTCAGTGCCGAGTCTCCCTGACTCCCACACAGGGTCTGGCTCCCCGCTTCTGGGCTCCCTCAGCCTTCTGTGCTTCTCCACTGAGGCAACGCACCCCCCATAGGTCCTCATCTGTCCTCTGTCTGGACCCCACTGAGCCCGGAACGGGCTCGGGGGGCCAGCGCACCCGTTTCCCAGCTACTGGTCTTTTTTCGAGAGAATTGCCTCAGGCAGGGGAGCGGGTTTGCAAGGGAATTACGACACCTCTCCTTCCTACTGGGGACAGCCTGAGCCAGTGACTGGCTGACAGGGGATACAAAGGCCCACCCCCTTGCCTCGGGAGGGGTCCGCTCTGGGGCAGCTTAGCTCCAGAGCTCCCCGCGGGATGGAGCTGAGGCAGGTCCAGCTGAGACCTGAGCCTTCCTCCTGCTGCCCTCTCCTGCTTCCCTCACTTGCCCTTTTCTAGAAGGCACTCCCTCCGGACACCCCATGCACAGAGTCGCATCTCAGACTCTGCTCCTAGGGAATCTGACCCCTGAATCATTGCGACCACAGCACCAAGGCCAAGCGGACAGTCAGAGCTTCACGTGCATTCCTGAATGACTGAGCCACTTCTCCTGCCCTCTACACCAAGCCTCTGTTCTAGTCACACGGGCCTCCGTGTCAGGTGGGGCTGAGAATCAGTCCTTGGCCAAGGGGAGGAGCTTGGTCTTCCGTAGTCACCTCTCTGTCCCAAGTGTCTAGACCAAGGCCTGGCACATAGTAGGAGCTTGGCGAATGTTTGTTAAATGAATGAATGCCTCACCTTCCCTCTGCCCAGATGTCTGCCCTTCTCAGTTCCTATCCAGGTTTCCTCCAAACCTTCAAGGCCACCTCAGCCATCACCTGCCAGGCATCCTCACCTGCCAGGTATCCTCACCCGCCATGGTCATCCTGGCTGCCTTTGACATTCTACCAAAGTGCTTTGCCAGCTGCCCACATGCCTCAGGGGTTCACTGAGGGACCTCAGGGGCCCCCCCGAGGGCAGGGGATCAGAGGGAGCCTGGACTGGGCTGGGCAGGACCCACACCCTAGTTTCACCTAGAACAGCTCTGCTTCAGTCTATTTTCAGGAGATTCTGTTTGAACCAAAGTGCTCTCTGGCTGCAAAGACTAAGCAGCCCTCTGCTAGCTTCACTTTCTATCTGCTCCCCCCCAACCTTGACACAGGGCACATCCTCCCTCATGCTGCCTCGTCTAAATTTTCTTTGTAGATGTCCTGTTTATGTCCTCATCTAGACCGGAACTCCTAGATGGCTCCCGCCTAGAGGCTAAAAGCACGGGCTTTGGAGTCAGAAAGGCCTTGGGCAAGTGGTTAAGCCCCTTCCAGCCTCCGTTTCTATAGCTGTGAAATGGGAAAGCAATAGAGTTACCCTCTGAGAGTTGGGCAAGAATTCAATATGGTGAATCATGTCAGGGGCTAAGCACAGTGCCTGACTCATGGCAAAGAATAAATGGTATTTTTAAAATTTTTAACTATTTTTTGGGGGGGGGGGGTTGTTTTTAGGAAGATTGGCCTGGCACTAACATCTGTTGCCAATCTTCCTCCTTTTTTTTTCTCTCCGCAAAGCCCCAGCACATAGTTATATATCCCAGTTGTAGGTCATTCTAGTGCCTCTGTGTGGGATGCTGCCACAGCACGGCCTAATGAGCAGTGCATAGGTCTGAGCCCAGGATCCTAAGCGGCGAACCCCAGGCTGCTGAAGCAGAGTGCGTGAACTTAACCACTGGCCCATGCAGCCGGCCCTAAATGGTAACTTCTAGTATTTATTAATTACCTGAGCAAGTGCCTTGGGCATACTTGGTAATTAATTAATCGTCAAAATTATCATACTTTCCTTTGGAAAAGGAAGTTAAAGCACGGGTGTGTGTGGGGCTCATCTTGTCCGGTGTGGACCTTTCCCAGGGACCTAAGAGGGTACATCAGGGTCGTGATCACTGGGGTCTAGAAGAAGCCACCAATTCTAGGTGGACACTGGGGACATTCTAAGTGGCAGCCGCATGGCTAAATAGGGCCCTCATCCTTTGCTGTGAAGGGATCAGAGAAGGAAGCCCAATGTCCTCCTGCTTCTTAAGCATCTGCCTTTCGTCCAGACCCAGGCTCATTGTGGAGAGACGGTAAGGAGAGCTGGCAGAGACAATGGGTTCTAATTTTCCAGATTCGCTCCTGTATCTGCCGCAGAACCGGGTGCACCGTGGACGCTCGAGAAATATCATGGGGCGAACAAAGGCACAAAGGAATGGATGAATTTGAGATCTACCATGAAATTTCAGCACCTGGTATAGGTGTCTCTCCATAAATATTTTTGAGTGAATGGTGGAATTCTAGGTTCGCTATCACAGTTTCAGTTCTGACCTGAAGTCCTAGCCTGGAAGAGGCCTGTGATGAGAATTTATGGAGCGAATGAACTAGATCCAGTATTTCCCAGAAAGCAGCTGAGCGTCAGCTGCGGTTGCCCTCCCCGCTTCCCCACTCGGCCCAGACTCACAGACACGGCTTCCAGAGACGGGGCCCTCAGGTCCTGCCACCCGCCCTGCGTGGCCTCAGCCAGGTGGAAACGGGGTCTGGGAAGCAGAGCAAGTTAAGCTCCTTGAGGTGCACAACTGAGAGACGGTTTGGCTGGCTCAGCAGGGAGCTCATGGGCGCTGCCGTCGGGGAACATTCACCCCCCGAGATGGACTGAGCTGGAAGGAGTGGACCGCAGTGACCCAGCGACAGAGCCAAGGAGCCATCATCTGCACGGCGTTGGCATCAATACAACCATGCACATGCACACCGATGGGGACATGTGGCTGTGCCCTGCTGGGCACAGGGCTCTCTGCCCATGACCCAGCCTTCCTCCCCAGGCCACGCGTTGGAGGTGCTGTCCAGAGCAGGCTCTGGTGGTTCACAAAGGGGGTCCTGCTCAGCCTCCAAATGCACCCCAGATGGCACAAGCGTGTGCACACACACTCAGCATGGCTCCATCTCTCTAGGCCCCCATCCTGCCCCAAACACATCTTACCTTCGCCCTAAGCGGGCAGTGGCCACAGACCACCTGGTGGCACCACCAAGAGATAACACCATCTGTCACATGGCCCCCCTTTCACGGATAACAGGACCCCTGTTAGCCAGGAGCTGAGGCTTAGCGTTGACATTGCAGGCCCAGGGACAAGTCATGTGGCACCTCCCTGCTTGGGGGTCCTGGAGCTGTCCCTCTCTGTGACCTCCCAGTCTGCGCCTGGGCAGCAGCTGCCCCCTCATTTCCCCTGCTGGGATTTACTCTCCACGGGAACCAGGAGGCGGCTCAGACCCTGCAGAGCTGCCCAGTCTGCAGGCTGGACCAGTGTCCTCGGAAGCATCTGTGGATCCTGGGCCAGGGCCCTACTTGGCCCCTGGCCGTGCTCCAGGACATGTGGCATTCTGAAGCCAGAGGCCTCCCCGTGAACTCCAACAGCTTCCCCGTGCCTGCGTCCTGCTGGGGTCTCAAGCCCGCCAACGTAACAGGGCCACCGCCCAGCATGAGCTCCAGGGCTGGCAGCTTGAAGGAACACAGCCTTAGAAGGCCATGGAGGCCGGCACAAAGAACTGGCTGCCCTGGGGGGTGACAAGGAGAATTGGGACCCTAAAGCCTCGATCTGTGCCGGCTGGTCCCTCATCCAGCCATCAGGTCTCCTTCAGCCAGTCTAGGGGTGGCCGCTGCAGCTGTGCAACCTGAGGCGAAGGACACTGGGCTGGCATTTGGTCCCCTTGGGTACCCTTCAGCTAAGGCCGAGGCAAAGGGGTCAGGGATGCTGGGAGGCCCCACAATGCCCCAGGAGAGCAAACCACACGATGCGCCCCCTCCCCATGATGCCCAAGCAGGGCTCGCCAGCCCGCCTGCCTGGGGTACTCACCGGCTCCGGCGAGCCTCCCCCTGGCGTGGTGGTGGCCGCCCCCTCTCAGGCAGGGCTCCCCATCTGGAGAGGCCAGCAGCACTAATCAGCTGCCTGGCGTGGTGCGGCCGAGTGGCTGGGGTTTAATTGACACCAGGTGGCCCCTCCCCAGGGGCAGGCTGGGAGGCGGCTCTGCCGGGCTAGGAGGCCAAGGCCTGGGCAGGGGGGCTGCACCCAGGCCCAGCCGGTTCTGGCCTCCCCGGGAGAGACAAGGGCGGCCAGGCTGCTGCCGGCCACCCCTCCCCTCCTCTCCTGCTGGCCGCCTTCAACGCTCACCCCAGCCCTGATTCCCTAGGCTCTGACCTTTCATTTCAGAGGCAGCAGCGACAGCGACAGCGTCTGCCCAGGAAGAAGGTGGCTCAGGTTTCCCCCTCTCCAGATGGCTGTGGGCAGCCAGGAGTGCATGCACTAGGTCTGCAATGGCCGGGCTGGGCCTGCTAGATCCCGAGGAGGCCCACCCACTGAGGTTGCAAAGGAGCCCCCAAACCATCTTTTATTGAACACTTACTACGTACCAGGCCCTGTGCAGTGCCACACTCTCCCACATTAAACATTTCTTGCCCTGAGAGGTGGGTATTTATGACCCCCACTCTGCAGATGAAGAAACTGAGCTCAGAGAAGCTAAGCTTCTTCCCTTATGTCACACAGCAGGAGAGACACCAAGTCGGGGATTTTTAACCACCAGCTGCAAAGTGGGTCATCATTTTTCAGATAAAGAAATTAAGGCTCAGAAGAGGAAGTCAGTTCTCAAGGTCAGGCAGCAAAGTGTGGAATTTGGATTTTCTCCCAGACGTGTTGGGCCAGGCTGCTTGGAAAAGCAAAGTCCACTGCTGAAACATAAGCCTTCTCTCCTGACCCACATGAGTCTCTGCTTATATTAGGGCTCCAAGTTTTAGCCATGGCTGAGGTTTAAGGGGAAGAACACTGGATACGGAATCAGAATACTTGCTGTGTGACCTTGAGCAAGTTACTCTCCCTCTCTGGGCTTTGTTGCAGCTGCAGTGAACACCAAATGGGACACCATGTTGAAAGGGCTCTGTAACTGGGACTCACAGGGCAGGATTGGGGGGTGCAGAGGCAGTCCCTATTCTGCCCCAGGAGCCCTTCCTAGAGATCTCCACGCCTGCCCTCTCCCCTCACTGCCAGGGGCAGCAGGACCCAGCAGTGAAGAGCACACAGAGGCTCTGCAACACAGACTCGGGGTCAGAGCCTGGCTCTGCGCCTCGCCAGCTGCACGACCTTCAGAGGTCACTTCGCTTCTCCGGGTCTCAATGTCTCGTCTCTGAAATGTGCTAAGAGCTGCCTGCGCTCTGCGAGGACACACGGGAATCCGCCCAGTGCCCACCTCTTTACTCATCAACACTTACTGAACACCTACTGTGTGCGGGTCACCCTGCTGGGGACATAATGGCGGACAAAACAGAGTCAGTCTCTGCCCTGGTGGTGGAGACAGACAGGAAATTAAAACACACACAAATAAATATGTAATTCTGTGTAGTATGTCCTCAGAAAATAGAAGAGGCTGTTTTCGTTTGTACCTTTGTTCAAGAAGAGAACTCACGGGAGCACCCACTGTGTGCCAGGTTCTGTTACAGGTACGGGGCACACAGCAGTGAGCAGTGGGGACAGGTTCCTGTGCCTGTCTGCTGGGAGCGCCCCTCGGGGACCTCCAAGGTGGCCTGTGGGATTCCAGAACGTTCTCAGGTCTAAACCTCAGTGGGGCTCATGGGCTCCTTTTGGTCTGACTTATAGGCACCCTGGCAGGCAGCTCAGCCCCCTGGCCCAGACCCAGACCCCATGTGGGTTGGGAGAAGCCGAGCCCGTGACTCAGCCAGTCTGGACTGTCAAGCTGAGAAGGGAGCAGGCAGCTGGCCGGGCTGTCAGCCCAGGGCCACCCCACCCCCCTGAGCCAGACGTGGGGCAGGTGCCCAGGGCACGGACTGAAGCTTCAGGATGGCAAGGGAAGGGCTCTGAGCTCAGGTGACTGCACCCTGGGCCCTGGTGGTGAGTCACGAGGAAAGAGAATATTCTTGAAAGAAACTGTGAGAAATCACAGAGTCGGCTGCCCTGTAAGGGAATGAGCTCTCCGTCACTCCAAGGCTTCCAGCAGGGTGCTGTCAAGGGGACTCCAGAAACTGGGAGAGAGTTCTCAAAAGCTGGTTGATCTCTACTCTTTCTCCAGGACGAGTTGTGGTCACCACCTTCTCCTGGGAGCTTTTTCTGAGTCCATCTCCCACCCCAGGCAGGAGATTTCCTGTGAGCTCCCTCGGGCCCCAGTCTCCACCTCTCCGTTGCGTCTACACCGTTCCACGCCCAGTGCCTAAGCACAGAGCGTGTCATGTGGTGGGTGGTCAGCAAATGTTTCTCATATTAATAAATGAACAGACTGGGATGATGAATGCCAATGTCCTAACTTTGAGCACCTGAGACTTTGACAAGTAGCCCTGTCATTTTACTCATTCATTCTTCATTCAACGAACATTTTCTGTGGACCTACTGTGTGCCAGGCACTGTTCTAGGTACAGGGGATATAGCAGTGGTCAAGACTCATGAAAATCCCTGCCTTCATAGAGCCTACCATCTTGTGACTGCACTTACAACCAGGTACCTGTACTTATAGCAGGGGTTAATATTAATAGCAATAACAGCCATTGCCATATATCAAGGTTTCTTAACCTCAACACTATGGGATAATTTTTTGTGGTGTAGGGGTGGCTGTCCTGTGCATCGTAGGATGTTTAGCAGCATCTCTGGTCTCCACCCATTAAATGCCAGTAGTGACTTCCTCCCTCTAGTTGTGACACCCCCAAACGTTTCGAGGCATTGCCAAATGCCCTGGGGGAGCATCACCCCTGGTTGAAAACCACAGTCCCATATTAAGTACCTACTATGGGACAAGCAGTTTGCATTCATTAATTTAATCTCTACAACAACTCCAGGAGGCAGGGATCATTATTATTTCCATTTTACAGATGAGGAAGCAGAGAAGATTAGTCTCTTGCTTAAGGCCCCAGATCCGGGCACCTGGCTCTCCTGTGCGCAGCTTCCCAGGACCCCTGTACAGAAGACAGGGCCGCTGGACGCTCGGAGCGCGTGGGCAGCTCCGGAGACCGATCCCAGAGCAGCGTGTCCCTTGTCTGGGCTCTCACAGCCGGCTGCAGGCAGCCAGGAGCCGAACTCTCTTCTGGTTCTGCTCTGCGGCCTCTGTAGCTCTCAGGGACGAGCACACAGTAGGCCATCTAGAGCAGGGCCGACCAGTAGAAACACACTGTGAGCCACAGACCTCGTTGTAAATTTCTAGTAGCCACAGCAAAAGAAACAGGTGAAATTAATTATAGTAACGTATTTGATTTAACCCAAAATAGCTGAAAATGATCATGCCCATATGTAATTATTATAAAAAATGATGAATGAGATCTTTTTACACTCTTTCTGTTTTTTTGAGCATCTTAGGAATCCAGTGTATATTTCTCACTTACGTCTCAAGGCAGACCCATCACATTTCCAGGGCTCGAAAACTGCCTGTAGCCTGTGGCTTCCGTATTGGGCAATGCAGTTCTGGAAAGTTCTGTTGATCAAGGGGAGTGAAGTCCAGAGGTCAGGAATTCTCAGCTCAGTGGCTGAGGTGTCCCTGAGCCCACAGCTCCGTGGGTTGCTATGGGATACTGTCATTTTTTGTTACTCGTCTCTGTCCTCTAAGTTCACCCGTCTTTCTGTCCTTGGACCCCAGCCCAGTGCTGGGCACTTGCAGAAGTGACAGGTCTGGTGGTTTGGACTCAGAGGCCTGGGCACCAGTCCTGGCTTGACTGCACAGCTGCACGACCCTGCCTCAGTTTCCTCACCTGTTCCAGCACTGCTCAGGAGACCTTTCTGCCATGATGGCCACGTGGACCCCACAGGGGTGGCCCCTAGCCTCGTGTGTCTACCAAGCACTGGAAATGTGGCTGGTACGGCAGAGGAACTGATTTCCAAATTTTATTTAATTTTATTAATTAAATGTAAGTAAGCACATGTGACTAGCGGCTACCGCATCAGACAGCACAGCTTCCAAGAGCTCCTGGGGGACTGAGGATAAAGCCTCGCAGAGAGCAGCCGTCAGCACCTGGGGCCTGGTGTGCCAGGCTGGAGGTCCCTCCTGGGCGGTCAGCAGAGGGCAGATGGCGAGTGTCGGGGGTCGCCCAAGGCCGGGAAAGAAGCCTTGGAGGGGAGTAGGGCGAGGCCCTTTGAATGCCACATCCTGATCAAACTTACTGGGACAAGGAGGGGACTAAAAGCTTCAAGGGTCAGAAGAGCCCGCTCGTTCCGAGGTCCTGGGAGGCTGCGAGCTCATTCCAGCCAAAGCTTTGAATCTTGAAAGTGAACCTTTGATGGGAAGATGAGAAGGAAAGAGAAGGATGGCCAGTACCAGGCAGCCCACAGACTTAGGGGAGGCAGGGAGGGGGAGGTCACGGGATTGCTTATACTGTGAGAAATGGGGTTGGAGGGGTGCCTCCTACCAAGAAGTAGCATTGACCTCTCTCTGGGTGACCTGTCATAAAACTGCGAACAGTAGCTATCAGTTATTGAAGGCTTCTTGTGTGCCTGACACTGGGCTAAACGGTTTACATGTAGTATATCATTTATTCCTCACGATAACCCTGTGGCATAGAGTTTAGTATTGTCTCCATTAGACCAAGGGTGAAACTGAGGCTCAGAGAGGTTAAGCAACCTGCCCAAGGTCACACAGCCACAGAGGTGGAATTCAAATGCAAGTCTGACTGACTGTGAAGCCCTTGCTTTCTTCTCCACTGTGTGATATTGTTTGCTTGTGTGACCCCCCTTTATGTTTCTATAGCTCCTCAGTAATTTTGCATCAACTTGACATTAGTCCTACAAGGTCATGTCACATGCCCATTTGGTAATGATGAAAAAACTGGGTCACCAATAGTTTCAATAACTTATCTAACAGAATATTAGTTTAAGGACACCGTTAATGATATTGATTCTGAAATTGCCTTATACAATGTTTTTATATTTAAAAATAAAACCTCAGGGCCAGCCCGGTGGCATAGTGGTTAAGTTTGTGTGCTCCGCTTCGGTGGCCCAGGGTTTGCCAGTTCGGATCCTGAGCGCGGACCTACACACCGCTCATCAAGCCATGCTGAGGCGCCATCCCACATAGAAGAACTAGAAGGATTTACAACTAAGATATATAACTATGTACTGGGGCTTTGGAGAAAAAAGAAGAGAAAAAAGGAGGAAGATTGGCAACAGATGTTAGCTCAGGGCCAATCTTCCT